CTGACACTGGAGCAAATGTGCTAAGATTTTTCAGTGTAAGGAATCAAACGTTAAACCAAGCTGCAAAAGATTAACACTTTTCACTCAAAACAAATAGTTCATTATTGGTTTTATTTGCATTGAAGTGAACTATTTTTAAAGTGACAGTAACCCGAAGCCTAAGTGTAACTGTATTAATGACTTGTGTTGTCTTCGTTTGTGACTGAAGGAAGATAGTGCACTGTATGTTAAATCTATTCATTACCTTGAGTTTTGTTGATTTAAAAAAAAAAAAAAACCCAGATTCCATAACAACTAACACACAGTCCTTCAGAAACAAATTCCTAGAAGAGCCTGTAAAAAATATTGTGACAGTTTTAATGAAAGCTGCAGGAAAGAAAGTCAGTTTCCTTTTTTGGATTTAAAAAAGCTGTTTTCCTCAGCAGACCTACTTGGATGCTTTTGCCATGATGAGAGTAGCCCAGCTTACCAGAGAAGTGCAATATGTATAGTGATTCTGCAGTTTTCTGAAACATTTCAAGTGTTAGGAATTAAGAAATCCCAGCATACCAGGATTTTTTTTTTTTTTTTCCGGATAAACATACTGTATGGTACAATCGGAGTATTTCACAATCAAGTACAAATCTGGATATGATTGCTATTTTTTATGGTGTATTTTTTTGGTAGAAAAGATATACACTGTTAGTCTGCCTTCACTGTTAGTGTGAATTTGTGTGGTTCATTAGAGAGTTTATTTAAGAGGATCATGCATTCGGTGAGCTTCATACTGACTAATTTTAATTGGAATGTTAGGAGCAACTCTAGAATAACTGAAATGGGATTCCTTGGTTAACTTTGTGCTGGAGAAAATGAGATTCCTTCAAATAGAAGGCCATATCCTGTGTTCCTTACTCAGGCAGATATCCCACTGAAGTCAGGAATTGGCCTAAATTGATTTCTTGATTTTTTTTTGTTTAGATAACTTTGTTTTTAATTAAGTTCTGTACAACTTTATTTTGAATGATAATGCCCACTTGCCCAAGTACAAAAATTGAATGATAAAATAAAGTGCAGTAACATTGTTATCTTTTTTTTTTTCCCTCCTGAAACAACACATTTCACTGGTCTGAAATACTGTTGGGAGATTCTTGAAAACCTGTGCTCTGTGATGCGTCTTGGTTCGAAAAACTGGCCCCTTAAAAAAAACCCCACCTATTTTTGCAAATGCCTGTCTGTAATTGGCTGGACATTCAGTGAAATATAACTCGATGTGTGTTTGTCTGTAGCCCATTAGGCTACTCACGTTTATTTCTGCTCAGATTATTTCCATAAACCATTAAGTAAACAAGCCCCAAACAGTTTGGTGAGATGGAAAATATATGTTTGGTCTTTGCTACTTTGTTTGATCCATACCTTCTATAGACACTTGATTGATGAAGTGGAATTTGGCTGTTTTGCTTTCATTTTTTGAAGTCTAAAATGTGCTATTTGTAATGTGGACTTGGGGAATAGAAATAAATCAAAGCAACTTGACCTCTGTTGTGTAGAGTTCTTTAACAGGAACTGTTCTTCAGGTAAACATCAGTCTTCTCACATATACCACATAATCTGCCAAGAATGCTCATGTTTAAGAATTAGGGATGTCACACTATTAATGAAGAATTCTGGCTGGAGTGATTAAATTTTTTCTTGCTGCACAAGAGCCTTTGTAGATTTTACTTCACACCTAAATCACAACGTGACCTAAACCTCAGAGATAAAATGTCAGGTACTTCTTGATGGTAACGAGAAGTTTCTCTGCATTCTCTGCTGGGGAGGTGAGGATAATTTTACCAGCTTTGATTCCAATGTAAAAGTGAAAGGCAGTAAAGAGCAGTCAAAGGAACTGGATTCAGTGATGACAGTTTTAAAAAGAAAGATGTAATTTGGAACAACAGGAAATGCAACACAATGTGAATTCAACAGCCTTGCTACAAAGCAGGCAGAAAAAAAAATCACCTTTCTTGTGCTTCATTTCAAAGGAGAGGTGCATAAAAATGTGGTATCTCATTAAAAGGGAGGTAGCTGAAAGTCTTCACAGATGACGTGGCTACAGGTGACCAGTGGAGTGGCAAAGCAAACACAGTCCATCTATGCCAAAAAGACTTCAGGAAAAATCCCAAAGGAAGCAAACTGAACTGGATCAGACAAGTTAGGTAACACAAATTATATTTACATAAGGAAGATACAGAGGAAGACACAGAAAGGATCATTAATTTTGCAAGCTACAAGTAGTTTGAGAAACATCTTGCAAAAACTACCCACACTAATAAAAAATGAAAATAAAAAAGAGGTACAGTAGCTTTCCAATTAAAAAAAAAACAAACACAGCTCTTCAGCTCAGAAAAGACAGCAGAGGTCTAGAAAAATCATGACTGCTGTGAAGACTGATGAGGGGACAATGCTTCACTTCTGACAGAAACAGCTGGAGCAGCTGATGAAAAAAATAATGGCAATTTGAGAAGCAGCAAAAGGAAAGATTTCTTATGTTGTTGAACCCAGTAAGCCTGCTGTGTCTGCTGGGAATTTGTGCTGAAACTATCATCATGGCTAGGCTTCGTGAACGAAGATTTGAGAAGGGCTCTACCCACACTTGCTACAAGCATGCTGATGGCTAAAAAGGCCAATGGGAGATAGACAAGTCCGGTTGCAGAAGGCACAGCAGAAAGACTCCCCAGGTGATATCGACGAGACGCGATTCTTTCTGCGTTGTCTATTCTCCTCCAGAGTGATCCTGCGTGTGTTCTCAAAAGCAGCAGCAGCGTTATAGATGGTGTGTCTCCAGGCCTCCCGATTGGAGGCCAGGGTAGACCAATGGTGGTGATCAATATGGCCAAGGCTGAGGGATTGTTCCAGGCAGCCCTTGTATCTCCTCTTTGGGGCTCCTCCCTTGCGGCAGCCAGTGGCAAGTTCCCCATAGAGCACGATCTTAGGGAGGCGGTAGTCCTGCATCCTGGAGACGTGCCCTGCCCAGCGCAGCTGTGTTCTCAGCAGCATGGCCTCAATGCTCGTGACTGCTGCCTGTTCAAGGACAGACGTGTTGGTCACATAGTCAGTCCAGTGGATGTTTAGAATTGTACGGAGGCAGCGCTGATGGAACTATACAAGTACCCAAATATACCAAGACATGCAAAGCCTGAAGGAAGTATCAAAACACTGTGTTGTAAATGAGAGTAATCTGGGGATTGTATCACTACATACTAATCCTGTTATGCTCTTCCTCTGATGCTTCATACCAGTAGCTGCCAAATAGAAAATAACAGGCTAGATAGATGTGGTGTGACACAGTGTAACTACTGTTTATTTTTCGTGGCTATGTAGTTTTAGGTGTTCCCAACAAACTTTAATGTAGCTACAAAAGGAAGCATTGGCTGTTTCTGACTAAACACTGTTTGGTTGATTAGATTGCCTTGCTTTATTAATTTGTATACTGAAGTTTGGTGGCTTGATCAATACAGCTAAGCATGATTAATTTATACATTCAGGTAAATGTTTTCAGTGTCTCTCAGATCCTCTGTATAGTCTGACCTGAACGATCTTCAAAAGGCATCATTAGAGCTGGTGAAGCCTGGCACAACACAGACAACAATGGATTTCTGTTGCTCCCTTGACCACGTGCCCATAGCATTGTGAAAACGGCAGTCTAGGTAATGTTAAACAGGCAAAATTAACGGATCATAGGATTTGCCTAACTCCAAGGGAAGTGTTAGCATCCATTACTCCTCCTGATCCAGTATGAAAAAGACTTTCTCAAGTGAGAGATAATGAGAAGTGCAGAGTAATTGACTACAACAAGGTAAACACCCATGCTCATCCTGGCATTTTAATTTCATCTTACTCCCATTAACATCATAACATCAGTTAGACCAAACCAATATTTTGGAAAATAGTCTAAATTCTGGTTCTAAAGTTGTTTGGGTATTTTTTGTGAATTGGAAATGCAGTGTAGCAATAAGACACTAAAAAGTCAATAATACTTTGAAGAAAAATGCACTTATTACTCACTGTTCTGACAGCTACTTACTAACAAAGATCAGACTACAGAAACCCCTGTAAGACACCATCAGAGCAGCACAGCCAACATAGCTGGCTGTGCCAGCTACAGGGGTTCTCCTTTAGAAACCCATGACTGCAGAGGCTGCAGAAATAAAATTCTAGTAATGTTTGTTATTTTATCTTCTCAGTTCTCTAAACTTGAGAGAGCATATTTTCTAGGTCCTCTTCTAACCATGCAGGTTGCACTGCCAGAATGGAACAGCTGTAGGATAAGTGCACATTGCCTGTGATACCACAGATTTCAATTCCTTTTTCCAGACATCCTACAGAGTCCTAAACTTCTGTGCTAGAACTTTATTTTATAGTGGCCGAAGCAATTCACCTTTGCAAGTCCCCTGAACTGCTACAGCATTAAATAAATTTTAAAAATTCCTTAAAATTATGACTATGCACATTTTTAGGTGATGATGGGTTGTATGTTTTTTAAAGTTAAGGCATGCAAATTACTGTATATAGAAGAAGGAAGGTGGTTTAGTAACTTCCTTGGACACCTAATTTTCCAGCCTAAAATTATTACATCTCTGTAATAGTAACTTCAAGTATAGACAGGTTCTTGCTTGATAGTGAGAGCTGCTGAGAGAACAGAAGTGTTGACTTAACAAATGTTACAGCACTGTGGGCTCAGCAGCAGATCTGCTTATGAAAATGGATATACTTTAAAAATAATTCATACAGCATTTTGTGAGTATTCTAGCATCAAATCAGTTTCCATATGCATTTTCTGACCAACAGCAATGTTTTGGCCTTACAATCACATAGTATAAACACAAAAATTTGTGCTCTACTTTACTCTTCGATAACACCACAAGTATTTTAAAACTTCATCTACATGTGAAGTATAATAAATCTGTGCTCAGGGCAGTCACCCCAATTCCATTAGAATATCTACAGTCTAACTATTCTAAACAAACTATCCAACACAAATATTTGGGAAATAATTTTATTTGTCCTATTCATCATTAGTTTAAACAGTCACAAACTCCCATCATCACATACATTCACCAGAAACACAGGCCAGAGTAAAGGTTGAAAGGTTGAACAAGTTTAATGCCCTCTGTTCGTGTCCGTCTTTAGATGTCATTTAAACCAAGCAGTTGATATGTACGGCCATTTGAAGGTGAACTGTCCATTTACACAAGAAGACAGGAGTGAGCTTTATTCTGGAAGTGGAATGCACACAGTTTGAATGCTAAAACCTACAAACCATCCTGAAGCTTTGATGCAGTAAGGGCTGAGGCAGTCATCTTCATTTCTTTTCTGGAGGTTCATGTTTTACCCAGTCCTCAAAGCCACCAGCATACTGCTGAACTCTGAAAATACACGGAGATACCTTTTTCAAGAAGAGTCCTTCTTAACATTGTATCTTAAGAGGACATGGCAAAAAAACCTAAACCAAACCAAACCAAAAAATAAACCCCAATAAACCAAAACCAACCAACCAAAAAAAAAAAAAACAAACAACCAAAACCACACTGAAAAAAGAGGGAAAAAAATAAACAGAGAAATTCTCTGCAATCAAATACACTTGTACCCAACTGTGATGAGCCAGATGGGCATCCCTTGTGCTCTAATCCTGCCTCCTTCCATGCAGTGTGTTCTGTTCCTCTTTTTTTCCAAATGACACAATGCTGGAGATCAAACATCAAGCAAGAAATAGCAGCTGGATCAATGAAACAGTTTTTTAAAAAAGAACAGACTCACTGCAGTGGAAGATTTATTGCTATTGTGTCTAATACTAAAGATGTCATCAAATAAACACAGCACAACAATCTTTACTTCCTTGCAATCTTACATGCTCTATAGATCTGACATAAACCTGCACAAAACTTAATTCTGGAAAAAAACCCCACCATGCAAAACAATACTGACTCCTTTAATTAGGCATTATGAAAAATGGGTAATGGAGGATATTTTGCACTTTGAAACAAGAATGTTGTTCCATACTTTTGACTAGAATTAGTAGGAATATTCCAGTTCATGAAAGCATGAGCAAACCACCAATGTCCTAAATTTTACCTGCAGTCTTCAAGCCAGCAAGGCACCTTCCAGCATAGGTGTAACAATTCTGCCAACCAAATGCTGCTTTTGATTTCACTCTATCATAATCTCTTATTTTTAGCTGTTGCCTTGACTGCTTTACTCCTGGCAAACACTCCAAAGCTTTACTGAAAGTGAAGGTGTGCTTTGTCAACAGTGAACTATACAGGTAGAACTGTAATTCAACAAAGGGTGTGGTTTCATAAAATATTTAAGATTGTACTTCTACCAAAGCAAGCAGTTCTCCACCTTTCTAATCGCCCTGCATCTCAGGACTAGTACTTATGAAGCTGTGTAAGGAAGCACTGTCTCAGCAAGGGAGCTGTTCAGTGGCAGTGTGGTCTTGGAGCAGTTTGCATCACCTGCAGCACGTGCCCAGAGCTGCTGACTGGTTGTGTTCAGAGGACGATACACCTCACTTTGCTGGAACACCCAATGGCATCTTTCAAGGTCAGGGAGACATGTTTTCGTATTCCCCATGTAAATTTTTACCCTTGCCCACAAGGTGAGTGCATGTTCTGCTTCATGAGGGGTGGCAGCATTAATCCCATCCTTACATACACAAGTCATACCTGCTGAAACCCAAGGACATGGCAAACCCAAGTGCTTGTTTACTTCTTGTTCCTGCCAAACAAGAGAAAACCAGAGGGTCTGACTTGGATGGCATCTTTTGATTGTATTGCTCCTTGAACTCCATTGGGTCCATTTGTAGAGCTTCCACTAATTCGCCCACTGGGAAATACAAAAAGCAAAGTAGTATTTATTGTCCATCCACAGACAGACTTACACTTCAAGGCTTCTAATTCCTCTGGAGGAAAAGTTCAACCTCACAACATACCACCAGCTATCTAGCACTGCTGCTCTTGGCTCAGTCACCGCCACATGTCCTGAGCCTTGACCATCAAGCCAAGGCGAACACTCAGCGGCGTTCAAAAACTTACGCGGGATGTTGATGGACTCTGGTATTTTTCCAAACCTGTCGATCTCCCACCTCTCCCGCACGTCAATGTGGAGCACGTTGGTCTTCTTCAAGTCTTTGAGCTCCCGGTAGGAGAGGCCGGGCGCCTCGCCGGCGCACAGGCTGCGGCTGCGGGGACCTGCCGGGGAGGCACAGCCCGTCAGCCGCCGCAGGTCCCGCCCGGGCAAGGACACCGCCGCTGAACGCCAACACCTCCATCCACACCGGGCTCCCCCCGGGCGCCGGCAAACCTCACCCCGCCCGCCCCCCGAGAGACGCGGCCGCCACCCCGGCCCTGCCTCACCGGGCGCCGCCGCCCGCAGGGCCCGCGCCGCCCGCCACCAGCCCCCGAGCACCATGCCGGGCCCGGCCCCGCCGCTGCCCGCCGGCCGCCAGCGCCAGCACCCGCCCCGCCGCGGGGAGGAGACACCGCCAGCTCCTCGGGGGCGGGGGCTCGGGATTCGATCGCCGCCGGCCCGAGCAGGGACTCGGGAAGCATCACCGGGGAAGCCACGCGTGGCACCTGCCCGCACCGGAGGCAGCCGGGTAAGGCAGCCGCCGCCTCCGTTTCGGTACACCCAGCTACCGCCGCCTTGCCTGGGCAGCGTGGTTTCTACCAGTGAGCCAAGCTGTCGAGAAGCCTTAAAGTACCAAAGGCTGGGAGTCTGAACACGGATGAGGAATTTTGATGCCAAACCTACTCAAAGTGATTAAAAAACCCCCACAGCACCAGAAAAAAAAACCCAAAACAAACCACAACAAAAAACAACCTCTGAGTGTTATGTCCGAGGAGAAAATGGGATTTTAGCAATGGCCTGCAACCCTTTCATCACAGTGACTGTCCCCCTACAGCCACAGGAGTGGCATCAATCTCCTCTCTGGTGACCAGGGAGAGGACTCGAGGGAACAGCCTGAAGCTGCATCACAGGATGTTTAGGTTAGACGTTAGGAAAAGGTTCTTCACCCAGAGAGTGGTTGGATACTGGAACAGCCTCTCCAAGGAAGTGGCCACGGCACCAGATCCACCAGAGTCCAAGAAGCATTTGGACAGCACTCTCAGGCACATGGTGTGATTCTCATGGGCATGCTGTGCGGGGCCAGGAGTTGGAACTCCATGAACTTTGTGTGTCCTTTCTAACTCAGGATATTCTATCATTCTATGATCCCTAGTTTCAATACCCCTTGATTTTGAAAGCTGTCAGTCTCCCAGCCACAAGAACTGATGACCAAGACATGTAGGTAGAGAAATGAGGGTCCTTCCGTTCCACACATTTTAAATCAATACTCCGTATTTATTGCATACTTTTGCATATATATTACATACCAGCAGTTCCAGTCTTTAAAAGCAGGCATGCTGGATCTTTTTGTAAAAGATGCATTTTGAGGAGTATGTTGTTGAATCTTTACTAATAAGAGTTTTCCTTTTCAAAATGAGAACAAAATATTTCTTGGTACTGTAAAGTGTGACAAATTGAACTTGGCACATATAACTGGTTCACTAGCTGCCCTTCTGCCAGCCTCTCCATATGGCCTCCTTGACAGGCATTTGCAAATTGTCTTTCTGAAGCAGTACATCTATATGTGAGTTGAGGTTTCATGCCTTTCCCATTTTCCACAAGGTCTGTGTAGAATACACTACTTCTAGAAATTATATTGTGAAATATAATCTACTGTATATTTTATCTGTAGTAAAATAATGTCCAATGGTTAATCTCCCCTTATTGCATGTATCACTATAAGGACCATAAAGCATTCAATGTTTTGAATTGAAGCAAGCACCAGGATAGTTGTCATATGAAATGCGTATTCACCTGAAACTGCATTTCTGTGGTTTTAATTTGACCCTGGATCGTGCTATGTACACAAAGCAAGAGCACACTGGTTTGCTTGCAAAAATAGGAACCACCCACTATCTATCTTGTGAAAGACTGAGAGTTCGAAGTCAGAAGAGATCAAGCTTGGTAAACTTCTGTGGTTTGATGAATAAATGGGAAGCAGCACGTTCAATTCTGCTTTTGCCTTCATGGCACTGTCGTTCTGCACTCACTGTACCCTTCCTCAGCAGCTTTCTTCATTTCACCTCTTGGGACTCTCTCTTCATTTCACCTCCACTTCACTCTCCAGTTCTGCACAGCCTCACACACTCATCCCCAGTGGCACAATTTCCCAGACCATTACCCAGCTGCATTTACCCTTGCACATTCTTTATCCCCATCTTCTCATTTGACTGAAGCCTTTGTTGATCAAAGAAAAGGTTCACTAACCTAGGGTTTCATCGTCTTACTGCCTTTCTGATTTTTTTTGTTACCGCATCTTTTTTTTCTATCATCTGATTTTTTTGACCCCACAAACTTTTCAGCCTTCACACAGTATTCTTCACCATGCTTTACTATTTGCTTTTGGCCTTCCCTCTCTGCTCTCTCCTTTCTTTCAGGTCTCCAATTGCCGGTGATTTTAGTGCTTCTTCTTGCTCCTTTGCCCTTAACCTTTCATTTTCCCTTGTTACTAACTCCCAAACTTCCCCTTCTGCCAGTGCAAAGACATTCTCTCTCTTCCAGATATTTCTTTTCTCCTCTCCTGTGCTAAATGAGATATTCCCCTTCACATCACATTATGTCCATTTCACACATGTTCACGTTTCCTTCCTTCTCTTCAACCTTTGAAAGCAGTTATTATTCTTGCAGTGCAATAATTCTCTAATCCTTCCTGTGCAGAGGAGGAAGGACTCACTTCTTGATCCCATTTGTTTCAGATTATTGTCCCACACCCTTTCTCCCTCTCACATATAGACTCCATGAACATGGTGTTCACAATACACGTCTGGACCACCTCCTTCACATGGTGTGCAGTCTGCCTGCAGATCTTTGTGCTCAGTTGTCACCATGGTCACTGATGTGCCTAAAGAATTCCTCCTACCTAAGTTAAATTCTACTTAATCTGTCAACCTCTTGCAGCAATACTCTTCTTCATATCTTGTCTTTGCTTGGTCCAAAGACTTTTACCTGCTTCTCTAACCATGGTTTCAGTTTACTTGTCAGCAGATCCACTACAGGTTCTCCATCCTTGGTTCTAGAGGGGTGCCACAGCAACCCTTTTCCCTTTTTGCTCTATGCCTTATTACTGGATAATCTTACTCCAATAAAACTATTTCTCAGTCCTTAATTCAGATTTGCCTTCTGTCCAATAAAGCCACCTCTGTTTTCTAGCCACTTGCTGAGTTTAATCCCAATCCCAGTTTCCACTAGTTCCTCGAGTGCTGGACACCCTTTACTCTGCCTGTCCCTCAGCGGGGATATACACCTTTGATTTCTGATCTCTCTCCAGTCCCTCCCACGGTGGCTGCCCTGAAAATCCACGCAGGGCCCAGCCCTTGCTGTGTAACCTCTGGGCACGGCTGTCCACAACCCTGCGCGGGCACAAACCCAGCGCTGCATCTCCAGCTCTTTCACGAAAACTCAGACGTGAAGGTCACACCATCACGTCTCCCTTCTTTTGCGCCCCCTGTGCCCCAAGTTTCTAAGGTGCCCTGCAGCCAGACCCGCTGCTCCTTGTCGCCTCTCAGCGGGCCCGCCGTGCGCTCCCGCTCACCATGGGGTGGCCGCGCTTTCCCACGGCCCTTCCCACCCGGGACACGCGTTCTGGCCCCGAACCAGCACCAGCCCGCCCGTCCGGCAGCGGCCCGGCCAGCGGCCGGGGCGGGAAGCGGCGCGGCCGGGGGCGGAGCGGAGCGCAGGGGAGCGGAGCTTCCTCCGCCGCTTCCTGCCGCCGCCGCGCCCGCCGCCGCCGCCCGGCGCTCCGTGAGTGCGGGGCGCGGGGAGGGGGGGCTGCCGGCACAGCGCGGGGGCGCCGCGTCCACCCGGACCCGCCCTGCGCAGCCCGGGGGCATCGCGGGGCCGTGGCCGGAGCGCCGGGTCTGGCCGGGCCGGGCCGGGCTGGGCCGGGCCGATCCGCCCCACCATGGCGGCGACCGGGCTTGCGGCCTGCGGAGCCGCGTCCCGGGGGCGCCGGGCAGGGCGCGGGCTGGGGGCGGGCGGAGAGGGCTGTGCCCCGTCGTGGCCCCGGGCCGGGCGAGCCCCCCCCGCCGCTGCTGGGGGCACCCGGGGCTGCGCTGCCCGCGCTGCTCCCACGGGGCACCGGGCTGGGGGCCGAGCGCCGCTCTTGCTGGGTCGCCGGCGCCGAGCTGCTGGTGGCGGCCGGCCGCTGTCAGTATGAAGCGGGTTAAGCCTGCCGGGACACGTCCGGGACCCGCAGCGCGTTTATTCGTGTGTTACATTGAGGAGAGGTGGTAGCAGCGCCTGTGGCCGCGCTGAACATACGGCCCGGTCGCTTGGCGCTGGGCCCGGGGCTACGAGGGTGCCCCGGCCCCGTGCGGTGCGGCCAGCGCGGCTGTGCGGCCCCGCCGTGTCGGCCCGGGGCTGCCGCGGGGTCGGTGCGGACCGGCCCGTGCCCGGTGGTCCCGATGACAGCCCGGGGATGGTCCTCGCGGTTAATCGGAGGGAGACGTGGTATTTTCATAGCTGCGACTCTGCAGGTTGTATTTGACTTGATGTTGGGATTCTCTTGATTCCTGGCCTTTTTTTTTTTTTTTTCTCTTTTGCTATGATGTCCTTTACTTTAGGACTTCATCCTGCCCTTGCTATAGATATGTTGCTACTCGCACTCCTCGCACTGTATTCTAGTTGCACCTCATCTTTAATTACAGGTATTTCCCAATTCCATGAAATAGTCCTCTCATATGAGCGTACAGAGCAGAGTTGTAGTTAAAGGATTTGTATTTATTTGTATTTAAAGGATTCTTTCTGCTCCCATTTTCTGACTTTTAAATGGGAGGATAGTGGTGGTACGAGCATGTGCCAGATTGAAGCAGAATATGCCTTTGTGAAATTGTTTTGGTGTTTACTACATTTGTAAATATTTTGTCAGATTTCTTCATGAAATATTGAAGAACTGATGCTCTGTATTTTTTGAGAGATTCACAGAACTGCAGTTCAGGAGTTCTGTTTTGAGCATCGATTGTAGATTGAGGACAAGTTGTTCCACTTCACACGTGTCATCAAAGCAAACTGGGGCAGTTTGCGTGGAGCAAGAAAATGAAATGAAACGAAATTTTTTGGTTTTGGTGGCAAGACTTAGGCTTTAAAAGAGCTCAAACTAGTTTTCAAATTTACAGTTTTATCTATTCTACCCTCATTACATAACTGATTCCCTCAACACCCTTCCAGGGTGTATGGGAAGTTATGCACAGCCGTTGTCTTCCTTTATCTGCTCCAACTCAGCCGTTTAGGCAGGGCTATAGCAGGAGTCTTAGCTTAACGTATGGTCTTGTGTGGGTTTCAGCCTTCTGTCTCACACACATGCTGCAACTACAGTTCCTTTTTTA